CTGTGACATTTGATCACTTAGTATATAATCGAAAAACTAAATGGTAAGTATATATCGGGTCACATAAATATGTTTCAAAAAGTTATAAAAATTCAATAAATAAGCAAAGTTTATTTTCTAATGGAGTTGTATTTTTATTATTTGTATGTTATTAAAAACAAATTTAATGTTCATTAAAGTGTTTTGTACACAGAATCATCATTGATGTCGTCGAGTTTTCTAACACAATCGCTTACCACTGAAGTATTCTTCAGAAATGCCAATGGAATACAGTTAACGTTGGAAGAAAAAACAAGCTCGAACCTGTCCAACGTCAACATCATAAACTTTTCGTTGCGAAGCGAAAAACAATTTAATGTCAATTTATGTTTAACGTTAGTCTGTGCAATTCTTTTTATATGGTTTGTGTCAGGAGCTTCAGTTCCTTTCATCATATCAGCATGTCTTTTGATACTACAATGTAAATCGTTCATCACTTCTATCAAACAGGGTAAATTTGAATTCTTAATATAAAATCAAATTTCTAACAGAAATCATCTTATAATAAGATAAACATTGTATTTTTAAATATATATATATATATATGTTTTATAGATACATTGTTGGTTGTTAAATCAGTAGGTGTACATATCGAAAATAAAAGAGGATTTGGTATATTTACATCGATAGAATTCCTACCATGGGATACAATAGAAGATATATTCATCAATGAAGTCATAAAAGGAGTAAGTTTATATTCATGTCTGCATTTATATTACGAAAAATAAACTAATTCAAACTTTTGAATGATTTTAGCAAAGGGTGCTTTACTGTCTTACATTTATTGTGAAAGAATCAGTTGGTAGACAGGATTCAAGAAGATTAGTTCCACTATTTCAAGATCTATTACCTGAAAGAAAATGCCTGGAATACATATACGAACCCTTAGCCAATTTGATTGGTTCGACCAAGAAAAAGAGTCTCTGCTAACTATTCCTGGTGCTTATTGGCTATGTCATAAAAAGAATATATACAAGTTCATCTTTAGATATCATCGTATAATGAAGTAAGACATTAGTATTATCTTGTTAATTAAAAAAAATTTATTTACATGTATTTTTAGAAATACCATACAATTTTCATATGGACGAGAATTATTAAAAATTATACGAAAAATTATAAAATGTCATCCAACGCAAGGTCAACAATTTGGCACGCAACACCTTCTTGTCACTTACAGTATCCTTTTCTTATTAATATTTTATTATTCTTTCTTGAATAAATCAGTCCTTATTTTAATGTATAATTTCCTTTACTCTAATATAATTAAAAAATACAGATTGTACATCTTGGACTCGACAAGACAAAATGTTCGCAATAATGAAATTTCAGCAACGAACTAATGCCGCAGCATTTTCACACGCGTTCGTATTGACTATAAGGATTTTTTCTTCGTTGGAACACTCGTTATTCGATTTAAAATATCCCATTGTCAAAGAAGCTGACGCAGGTACTACATTTAAACATTTGAATATTTCCTTGGATACCGAAGAGAAAATTATTAGCAACGTGATATCTGCCACTGATAAAGAATCCCCAAGGGAGGATACAACATGTCATACTAAAGAAATACATGCAAAATATGCTATCGAGAACATGATGTTAGGTAAAGCATTGGAAACAAAAATCAATTCTTTTCAAGATAATACAATGGAGTCTTCGTCTTTGCGCGAGAATCTTGATAAAAGAATTGAAAATGCCACAATTCCAGCTCAAATGCATTTTGTTGAAAAACATAATAAAGAATTTCATAATGATGTACAAAAACATAAATATATAGACTATAATACTGAAGAATGTGAAAAAAACATAGAACAATATTCTATTGATTGTATTCAAGAACAATCTTTAAGAGCAAACGAAACGAATGAAATTGAAAAGACGCAGAAAATGAATGAAGAGGTAGAAACAGAGGTAATACAGAAGCACAATCAACAAACACAAGATATCCAGAAATATAAAATATCTTCATTAAAATCTCCTCTTACAGGAATGATAACAGGTAGCAACAATGAATGCTCATTAAATAAATTCAATTTTGATGAAAAATCGATACAGAAAGATGATATTTGCACCATCAATAATAAAGACAATTTAAATAATAACAAAAAGACGGTCAGTGGAAATATTATAAATTCTAACAATGTATCACATCAAAATTTCATTGAGAAACAGATAAAGAATTCGAAATTCAACTTAATTATTGATCAACCGATGCAAAAGAATCTGCAGACCGAGATAAAGAATATAGATAAAGATTGTGTTCCAAAAATAATTGAAGAAAATGGTAAGTCTGTACACATTAACCAAGAACATCATAATGAGACAAACTTAGAATTCCAAGAAAATAATAGACAACATACTAAAACTTCAATGAATATTAACGATAAACAGTCGAAAAATCATATGCATAGTAAGTCATACAAAACTCGTAAACAAAAAAGTAGGGAATCCGAGAAAAAAACCATACCTGACAAAGTTTTGCGCTCTTCTAATATTACCGATTTAGTAATGGAAGGTTTAATGTTTACTATACGACAAGATCAAGATAGCGTAGCTGTCATTGAACAAAAGACTAAATTAGAAATAGATGAAGTCTTAGAAAATTCGGAGAAGGTTGAAACGAAAGCTGGAGAAAAATGTTTATTAAATTCAAGCTTATTAAGGTTGGAGAATTTGGTGACCATGATTGACTCTCCGCGCAATAAAAACGAAGAGCATAAAAATCACCACGCAATCAGTAATAGTGCAAATCTATCGTCTTTTAATGTTTTTCCTAACGATACTGTACATAATGTAAATATTAATGAGATAGGTATGGGAATGAATGAATCAAATGTTTCTAATTATGATAAATATAATACAATGAAACATTTAAATCTGTACCAATCACAATGGCAACATCAACGCGTTTTCTCTAAGATTAGTAACAGCTGTTCAGCAAGCGGAATCTCGATAGAAAACCGGGAACAATTAATGGAATGGCAAGGTAGTGATGATGAGCAAGATAAAAAATATAAAAATAACACCGAAATTAAAAAACATGAACATTATTCCTGGGATAATATTCCTGAGATTTCGCTGTCTAAGAAAATAAATGTAGGACTGCAAAAAAAAGCATCACTAATTAACAGAAATATCAAAGAGATAGACAAATATGATAAATCGTTGGAAGAACATTATAGTTCTTCACTATCGAATTACTCATTAAATTCAAGTAAGATGTCCATGAAAACAGTTTCTGTAATTTCTGAGGAATCTAATTCGATTGAATTATCTCGCCGGAAGGCAAATGTTCCGAAAATAGTTTCTAACGAATCTATTACTATTGAACAAATGCCACCAGCCTTGCAGAAGGTTTTGCGACACAAATGCAGAGCACGCAGGTTTTCTTCAACGATCAGCAGCGGAATGTTTCAACAAAATGAACAGAAAATGCAATCTGTGGCATTGACAGAGAATACAATTTCCGAATCGGATATCTTGGAAGATAAATGTATAGATTCCAACATAGTAAATATTACAATTAATTCGGAAAAAATTAATAATAATGAGAAATCTTGTGCAATAATCGATAAGGACGCTCCGAAGATGAATAGAAACACACATGTGAAGAATTCGAAAGGAAAGAACGAGACACAACGTACTTTACGAAGTTCATCGTCAAAGCACAATTCGCCAAGAAAATTACAGGATATCACAGAAGAGTTTTATTACGACTTGATGCATGTACACAACAAAGACAATGCCATTCGACAGAGATGTCTCAGGCAAAAACAAAAATCTTTGAACAATCTCGACAGCATTAAAAGTGGCAAAGTACGTATAGAAATGTTGAAGTTCATTCAGGACATCACGGAGGGTGCTAGAGTGGTGGTGAAACGACTAAATATAGACAATAAATCTAATTTATTACAGAAAAATTCTAATTTAATTTAACAATGTACGCTCATTAAAAATTTATCGCGAAGTTATAAGAAAATAATTTTGTTATATTTACACACTCGTATATTCTTTATTATATATTATATAAATACATTGTTCTTTGTAGCTGCACTGAGTTACACATTGCTAAAGCTTTTTTTACTATCGCCAAATTTTAAATATATTTTAGTTAAATTATAATGTACATTAACATTTATTTTATTTTAAGTACAAATGACAATAGTTCAGTTACAAAGAACAGACGAATCATTCGTAAAACATGATGAATTAAAAAAGATGATTGTGACTTCAGATTTTCAGCGTCTTATTCTTATCCTGATTTTAATAGAATTAGTTAAATATACTGTTACTATATTAGTACATTTTTATTAAGAACTCTTGTATTTTAATTTTTTCAAAAAGTTTATGGTTAAAGTAATATCTTTAATATTTTCTTCCGAATTTTTATTTTTATTATTTTTTTTTTTATTAAAAGGAAAAGTTTCGCATTTTCTTGTAAACTTTGATATTGGATTAAAAAATTATATATACATATATATATTTATTTATTAGATTTATTAGATTAAAAAATGTATTTTATAAGTTACAGAATAAACAAAATTTTGTCAAAACTTTAATGCTAAAGAAACTGAAGATACTAAAAGTGAGTAATTTATTCGATGCGATAAGAAACAATTAGGAAATATAACATTTAAATATCAGAATTTGGTGCATTGAACATAAAAATGATCGATATAGGAATAATTTTTAAAAAACATCGATTACTTAATCGACTTCTGCTTAGCTTTAGCTCGGAATCGAGCAATCGAGGGTGAAATATAATATTCGCAATCGGGCGTAGAAGAAAGCGAAGTTGCTGAGTGCAAGATGTTCTTTATTTCTACACTGTCTGAACTAGTACAATGAGTTGAAGCGAACAAACATATATTTGTTTCTGTTCAACTTATTGCACCATGTGCACCAATTCAGGAATAAAGAACAGACCTATAGTTGTTCGTGAATACACCTGTTCGAAAATTGACAGCGGGAAAAGTGTCGGTACATACTTGTCGGAGTAAAACGTGTAGAACCGATCAATTTTCCGCGAAATCAGTATTACCCGTTATTTAATATAATATGGATAATGATAGCATGAATTTTCATAATATCGTAGACAGTACCGTAAGTATTAAACAGAGTGCATTTTTAAGTAATTCAATTGTGTGAGAATGCAATTTAGAAATGTGAGGTTAGGTTAGGTTACATTATAACATTAAATTAATTCTATATACATAAAACAATACTTTTCTTAATATTTAAAAAAAAATTCTTCTTGGCTTGAATTGTATCGAAAATGTATGAAAATTCATTAAATCAATATGTACTCTTAGAATTTTTAGATCGCCGGAAAACTTTGCGATCATGCCGACATGCCGGTAGTGAGATCGTTTCGTCTTCCTGTGGATTTGTTTTTTATAATTAAATATTAATTGTATATTTTTCATCTTTCCTCTCTTTCTCTTCAATGTCTGTTTTTATAGCTAGTATTTTCTGTTAATAAAGCGAAATAAATATCTGTATGAAATTTGATGAAAATAAGGAGAAAAGTTTTAGTGCAACCCAGTATAGAAATAAAAGACAAATTTTTAATTTTATTTTTTATTTGGAGTGCAGTGTGGTTCAGCA